GAGAAGGCTGGAGGCAGTGGAGATGTCATGTCTGAGAGCAATGTGTGGTATGAATATAATGCAGAGAATTCGTAGTTTGGAAGTTAGGAGGAGGTGCGGGATTACCAAAACTGTTGTCCAGAGGGCTGAGGAAGGGTTGTTGAGGTGGTTTGGACATGTAGAGAGAATGGAATGAAACAGAATGACTTCAAGAGTGTATCAGTCTGTAGTGGAAGGAAGGCGGGGTAGGGGTCGGCCTAGGAAAGGTTGGAGGGAGGGGGTAAAGGAGGTTTTGTGTGCGAGGGGCTTGGACTTCCAGCAGGCATGCGTGAGCGTGTTTGATAGGAGTGAATGGAGACAAATGGTTTTTAATACTTGACGTGCTGTTGGAGTGTGAGCAAAGTAACATTTATGAAGGGGTTCAGGGAAACCGGCAGGCCGGACTTGAGTCCTGGAGATGGGAAGTACAGTGCCTGCACTCTGAAGGAGGGGTGTTAATGTTGCAGTTTAAAAACTGTAGTGTAAAGCACCCTTCTGGCAAGACAGTGATGGAGTGAATGATGGTGAAAGTTTTTCTTTTTCGGGCCACCCTGCCTTGGTGGGAATCGGCCAGTGTGAGTATAAAATAAAATAAAAAATAATTATCACGCTTAAGTTTTCAAAGTCTGTATATTAGGTTCTGACATTTTTTAGTTAGGCACTCATTTATATACACATTTCTCTGTTTCTTGATGGAGGAACTTATTAGATAATTTTTTACGTCAATGGAATTGAATTTTAACCTAACACTTTATTGTTGACCCGGCTTGCCTAGCAGTCGGGCCTCCTGGATATAACTGGTTCTAATGTTAACTTTTATCTCATCTTTTATTAGTTGGAGTGCTTTGATGGTGCAATTCTCATTGTTTATATCTGGTGGTAAGGTAGAGCTGGTTAAAATGACAGAATCTAGGAGCTTGTCTTGTTCAATCATATCCCTTTGATACTGGAAGCATGCATTCCATTGGGATTCCATGTTTAACATCCAGTCTTGTGTAGCTTCTGACAGCTTGGTGGTGAGAGAATTTATTTGTTTAGCATGTGTGTCTATAGTTGAATGTAGGTTTGCTTGTTCTTTAGACGAGTTTATTAATGATGTCAGTGACACAAACCCACTGCCATTATGGTATGCTCCTCACTTAGCGACAGATTTGTTTACCGACGTGGCCTTAGGGACAGAACTCTGTCATTAAGTGAGGAGAGGCTGTATTTACAATACATTATATAGTAAACCAAAGATGATTTAACCTAGCATAATCTAATAAAGTCAACACTTAATATTTCTTACCATATGTGTATAAGGGGCTTTAGTGGAGAGGGTTGCTGTAGTCCTGCTGGGCCAAGGTGGATGGCAGGTGGTCTTGGGACGAGGTGGACAGCTGGGGTTCATGGATTGAGATGGATACCTGGGGTTCATGGATTGAGATGGATACCTGGGGTTTGTGGGCTGAGGTGAATGCAGAATTGTTACTGGAGCCCTCATGTATTCTGTCATGTCTCTCTAGTGTGTTTTACTTAAAGATAGTGAGGCATCATTGCTTTACACAGAATCTGCTTCACAGCAGTGCTTCTTGATAAGCCAGGGTCCTCTTCACTGAAAAAAGCCTGTACAGTATTAACCGTTTATCTGCAAGTTGTTGTTCCTTATCTGCTGTCTACCTTCTATCTGAGCACTGAGTTTGCCAATATTTCCTATTGGCATTTTTTCTCATCTTCTGAGAGTTCATTCACATCTTCCAGTTTCATATTTTCGAAGCCATCATCTGGCAGTCTTCTTCCCAGATCAACATTTTCATGGACCTTTCTTTCACCACTGAGGAAAATCTACAAAATTGTTCATCACAGTAGGCCACATTTTTCCCCATCATAGGTACTTTATCCTATGCACTTTTGAGGCAAGGTATTGCTTCTGCAGTGTTGAATTTATCCCAGAATTCTTGACATTCCAAACTTTGGGTCAGTATCCATTGTTATGAGGAGTTTCTGAACCACTCTGTGCATGTTGATACTCGTATACCTTAATTACACCTTCATCTAGTGGTTATAATATTGATGGTGTATAGGCACTTTATCATATGCACTTTTGAGGTGAGGTATTGCTTCTGCAATGTTGAATTTATCCCAGAACTCTTGACATTTCAAGCTTTGGGTCAGTATCCATTGTTATGAGGAGTTTCTGAACCACCCTGTGTATGTTGATACTCATGTGCCTTAATTACACCTTCATCCAGTGGTTGTAATATTGATGTTGTATTTGGTGGTAAAAACAACCTTTACATTTAGGTTCATGTCTTGCTAGAGTTCAGGATGAACACAGGACTGATCATTAAGGCGAATCATGAATGTAAGGTTTCTTCTCTTCACGTATAACTGGATCACTCAATAAACAAGATTCGAGTCATCCATGCTGACTGGTGAGACCACCAAATGACAGGAAACATGTTTATCTTTGTTACAAAGCACAGGGAGTCTTGGACTAAATAATAAGCAGTGGCCTGCACTTAAATTCACCTGACATATTAATACAAAGAAGCAAGCTGAAATGATTCTACTCTGCCTCGAGTTCAGGTGCAATTTTCTCGTTTGCTAAAGTAAGATCTAGGGTTATCTTCCAGAATAATCCTGTCTCATCAGAATCAAACACTTGCTCAGGTGTGCAGCCACCCTCAGACAAGCTTTTAGGATCTCACTCTTTCAGATTGAATGAATTATTGTTTCTCTCATACAAAAGGCTTAGGCAGCATCGATCACATGTGCACCACCTTTGAGCATGTTTATAATCTTAATTTTCTTCACTAGAAGCAGAGTTTCATATTTAAATTTCTTGGCACCTTCAACATTAGATTTCCTTTGTGAGGACATGAATAAGATCCAGCTCCTTGGGGAAGTGGAGAAGTATTCTTCCTCCGTAAGCCATACGTGTCATAAGAGGCGACTAAAATGCTGGGAGCAAAGGGCTAGTAACCCCTTCTCCTGTATTAATTACTAAGTGTAAAAAGAAGAAAAATGTGTTTCTTCTGTGTTGGGTCACCTTGCCTCGGTGGAAGATAGCTGTTGTGTTAAAAAAAAAAAAAACACACAACACAAGTTGATGAAAAAATCAGATGTGGCATGGTAATACAGGAGAGTAAGTGTATAATTTGTGTTCACAAGACAGCTGGTGGTGTGGGAGTGGTAGGAGTGGGCATAAACACCAGAGGGTGATACTAGGTCTAATGTAAAGCAAAGGCCTGAGGTGTGTGGCAGAGCAAATATTCCATCATTGCAATTGCTGGCCACTTAAGAACAAAAGATGATGAAATAGGTTGCAAAAGATAAATTGCAAACTGGTGGTAACTTATTAGCTCGAGGTGTGGTAGGAGGAGGGCTGACTTGTATTAAGAAACATACCATAATAAACAGGGTAATGTAATAAGCTTGCTCCAGAACTCTCTTCTGATATTGCATAAACCATGTATTTCTTCTTCTTTCAACAAACCGGCCGTATCTCACTGAGGTGGGGTGGCCCAAAAAGAAAAACAAAAGTTTCTCTTTTCAAATTTAGTAATTTATACAGGAGAAGGGGTTACTAGCCCCTTGCTCCCGGCATTTTAGTCGCCTCTTAAAACATGCATGGCTTACGGAGGAAGAATTCTGTTCCACTTCCCCATGGAGATAAGAGGAAATAAACAAGAACAAGAGCTAGAAAGAAAATAGCAGAAAGCCCAGAGGGGTGTGTATATATATGCTTGTACATGATATTGGCAGTTTGGAGGGATATGTTGTGTATCTTTATACGTATATGCTTCTAAACTGTTGTATTCTGAGCACCTCTGCAAAAGCAGTGATAATGTGTGAGTGTGGTGAAAGTGTTGAATGATGATGAAAGTATTTTCTTTTTGGGGATTTTCTTTCTTTTTTGGGTCACCCTGCCTCGGTGGGAGATGACCGACTTGTTGAAAAAAAAAAAAAAAAAAACATGTATGTGTAGTGTGACCTAAGTGTAAGTAGAAGTAGCAAGACGTACCTGAAACCTTGCATGTTTATGAGACAAAAAATGGACACCAGCAATCCTACCGTCATGTAAAACAATTACAGGCTTTCGTTTTACACTCACTTGGCAAGACAGTAGTACCTCCTGGGCAGTTGCTGTCTACCAACCTACTACCTAGAAACCATGCATTTAAATGATTTAAAAATGGAATATTGCAAAACCAAGACATACCATAGTGTTCAGGTAATGACTGTAAGCAGAGGTGGGGAGGGCAGTAGGTACTTTTATGTTCAAGTGAGCGCTTCTCACACTACCCTCACATGAGAAAGATAAAGACTGGAGACAGAACACTCAGTACAAGTTGGATAGGAAAATGATAATGTAGGAATAATCATTACCTCCAACTTTTTCTTTAATCCCACACAGACTATAACAGCAGAGTAATGACAAACAGAGCAAACAGAATAACATTCAAATCCCTAGACAAACATTTAATCAAAACACCATATACCTTGTGCTCAGTGTTCATAAGCAACACCTGTGTGGAATCTACTCCTTAAGGACCGTTCTTTACACTGATTTTAATGGAAACATTTGGAGTTGTAGCATTAAACAATTACACAGTACTGTTTGGAAGAAATCACAGGAAGACACATGATTGCAGGTATGTAAAAATACCAGTTATAATAGGAAATAAAACCTGAGTGCTTTCATGTGCTTACACATATGTCTTCAGGTTTTATTTCCTATTTTAACTGTAATTTTTACATACAATATTGTGCGATAAGATCACAGTAAAGAGGTGATACAACAATATGCAAAACAACCACTGTGAAAAAATAGTGAAATTCCAAGTACATACTTTCATTATTTATCACATTATCAAGGGCTTGATAATTTGAGAAATCACGAAAGTGCTTGGAATTTCACTCATTTTCACAATAGTAGTTTTGTATACAATGCTGTATATTTCCTTGACTTGTTGCTAATTATATTCTCATTTTTTCAGTTTTTGATGATGGTGATATTACAACACTACGAAGAACCTCTCTGTGCTTAAAAAGTGGCCGACATTTTGCTGAAAGCGAAACCTTGGATCAGTTGCCCCTTACACATCCAGAGCACTTTGGTACCCCAGTTGGGGGTGCAAGAAGAGGACGTAGATCAAGACAGCACCAGTAGGTTTATTGCTAGTTTGAAGTTGGTCAGATTTATTGTTACAATTGTTTTAAGACGGTATTTAGTGGTACAGGTTTCCCTTGCTTTATGCAGTTTGCTTGTGTGCAGTGAACCCATTGCTACTACTAATATGCTATATGTGGTATATATTCACTCTTACGCGATCATCCAAGTCCAGCACCACCTGGTATTTTAACCATTTGGTTCATAACATGTGCCCTTCAGTCTAGTTCTAGACCAACACAAGCTGGCGGACTGACTGGTGGTAGGAGGTTCCCGGGGTGGTAAAAACAAGGAGAATTGTGCTTTAATTGTGCAATTAATTTTTTCTCGTGTACCTTTGACCAGATGAATTTATTTTAGGATCAGTATATAGCCATTTGCAGCTTATCTGCTATGCTTATAATTCTTTTTTGGGTAAAAATGATGTGTAGATTTCAAGTTCTTCAGTATTGGTATTAGGGTTGAATTTGGGATTTTTTTTGTGTTTTTCTATCACTTTACCTTTTTTCTATGCCATATTGTGCATGTGTGGTATATAAATTCATATTTTTTGGTAAATCTTAGTCAGTAAACATGGATTTGCAGTCTGAACAAATACCAAAGTTTTACCTGTTGGGTTCACATTGATCCTAGAGGGAGATTGCTGGTGTGTTTAAAAAAAGTGGGAAAATGTAGGTAGTGTTCTGATGTTTGTGGGGGAGGAGGTGGGCAGAGAATTTATCAGTAGAGTAAAAAAAAAAATGCACTTGTAAGAATTGGAGGCATGATGTGTGTGTGTGAATGTTAGATTGAGGAGGAGGCTGGAGGCAGTATAGATATCATGTTTTTAATAACTGTTTTCATATAGTAGGACTTGAGTCCTGGAAATGGGAAGTACAATGCCTGCACTTTAAAGGAGGGATTTGGGATATTGGCAGTTTGGAGGGATATGTTGTGTATCTTTATACGTATATGCTTCTAAACTGTTGTATTCTGAGCACCTCTGCAAAAGCAGTGATAATGTGTGAGTGTGGTGAAAGTGTTGAATGATGATGAAAGTATTTTCTTTTTGGGGATTTTCTTTCTTTTTTGGGTCACCCTGCCTTGGTGGGAGACGACCGACTTGTTGAAAAAAAAAAAAAAAAAAAAAGAATGGTGTGAGTAGTATGCAGATATGAGCAAAGAATTTAGTAGTGTGTGGTGGTGTGAAAGGTATAATTCAGAGAGTGGAGGGAGAGTTGTTGAAATAATTAATTCATTTTGAATGGATAGAGCAGGATGAGCTGACCAAGAGACTGTATAGTTCTGGGGCGGATGGAAGGAGGGGATGGGTGTTCCAGGAAGGGTTGTGAAAGGGATTTTGATTGATGGGTGAGCATCCAGCAAGCATGTGGACCGTGTTAGTTTGGAGTGAGCACAGGTAAAGGGCTTTTAAGCTTTAATGTGCTGTTGAACTGTGCACAAGGAGGCCTGGTCACAGACCGGGCTACAGGGGCATTGACCCCCGGAACTCTCTCCAGGTAAACTCCAGGTAAACAAGGTAATATTTATGAAGAGATTCAGGGAAGTTGATTAACCAGACTTGAGTCCTGGAGGTGGGAAGTACAGTGCCTGCTGTCTGAAGGGGAGGGGTGGGGATGTTAAAGTTCAGAGGGTTATTTGAATTGTGTTGTCAGCACTCTTACAAGAAGATTATTGAAGGAATGATGGTGAATGTGTTTCTTCCTCTGGGTCACCCTACCTTGGTGGGAAACAAGAACCATCCAGAGCAAGGCCCGCATGAGGGCAGAGGATGCTGGGACCAACACAGCCGGACACTGCATAAAGTCACAATCAGGTATGGCACACAGCACAACTAGCACACATCCAGTGCAGCCTATAACTGTTGCTCAGTTCTCTTTTATGCAGAGTTCCCGACACCATATGTGTAATACAAAGTAAAGTGTCCTCATAAGATGTTGGTAATGGGATTGTCTCAAGGATCTGAACAAAGCATTATGAATTATGCTGTGATGGCTGTGGGGCAGTGGGCCACCAGTAGCAACAGCCTAATGAAACAGGCAATCAGTTGGGAAGGCTGGTCTCGGGTCAACCTGTGAAGGTACAAAATCTCTTGAAACTGCTCACAGGTATTACAGATAATGCAAAAATCCTATTCAGGATAATCAATAAAAATTTGTATACATAAAGGAAGACTAAAATAGACCAAAGATTGATGAAAAAATTGAATTTAATATAAATAAGCACTATGTAATAGATAAGAATGATATAATCATATTAATGTACTTGTTACTAATTTCATGAGTTTTTTAACTAAAAATTCCTGGTGCCGGGCTTTTCCGTCGATTGTTTAGTCAGGTTGTTAATATTGGTGGCCTGCTGGCCCACATAGTCATCACAGCCTGGGTGATCTGGAATTTAGTGAAATATAGTGATCAAGTTCATTTTGAAATCCTCAACACTTGTTCCAGCAATATTTCTGAAACCTGCTGGTAGCTGGTTCAGTAGTTTTGGACCACAGGTGTTGTCATAGTTTTTCCATATTGTGCCCATGGTTTCCCTGTTTTTCACTGGGTTTGTTTTACACTTCTTACATATCTCACACCAGTACATTATGGTTGAATGTAAATTTGGGACTAGGCCTTCTAGTATCTTTTTTGTTTTTTTATGTTGTGTTGTCCATATTGTGTTTTTTTTTTTGTGTGTGTGGTGTGTAAGTAAAATAATATTTTAATTAGGTATCCCCTCTTTGCTTCAGAACGTACATTCCAAGTACTTGGAGGTATTTCCAAGTTTAAATGCTTTGTTGGTTCAGTGTGGGCAGTAAATGGTCTCTGTTCCTTTTGTAGCTCTGATATCTCCTACCTTAACAGAACCATCAACACTGAGTTACATTGTAAATGAGAGATCACAAGTGATTTCAGTTGTCACCATTGGTATTTTGTTTCTTTTGAAAGTTCTTGTTATCCACCCTGTCATTTTTCTGTCCTTCAACATTTACCTTATTCTCTAAAGACAGATTATCTGAGAGCATCAGCCCCAGGTCATTTAAGTGTTCCTTTCATTTTATGATATGGACTTTATATTTCTTTCTATATCTGAGCAGTTAGAATCTGTCACTGAATATCATATTTTCTGTTACTTACTGAAAGACTTTGTTCATATCTGTTTGCCATTTGAATATTGTCCTCCACTGAGGTGACTTTAATGATGATACAAAACTGTAGATAGTTTTTTAGATGTCTTTTGTGAGGATGAGAAACAGTAAAGGCTCTAGGACTGTACCCTGGAACATCGAATTCTATATACTTACATACATCCTTGGTGGGATACGACCGGTGTGTTGAAAGAAAGAAGACATACGTACATGCATATATACATACATGCATAAATACATACATATATACATACATATATGCATACATGCATGCATACATGCATTCATACATACATACATACATACATACATACATACATACATTCTTCTTCTTTCAACAAACTGGCCGTCTCCCACCGAGGCAGGGTGGCCCAAAAAGAAAGAAATTCTCCAAAAAGAAAATACTACTTTCATCATCATTCAACACTTTCACCTCACTCACACATAATCACTGTTTTTGCAGATGTGCCCAGAATATAACAGTTTAGAAGTATATACATATAAAAATACACAATGTATCCCTCCAAACTGCCAATATCCCAAACCTCTCCTTTAGAGTGCAGGCATTGTACTTCCGATTTCCAGGACTGAAGTCTGGTTATATAAAATAACCGGTTTCCCGGAATCCCTTCACTAAATATATTCTTTCTTTCAACACACTGGCTGTATCCCACCGAGGCGGGGTGGCCCAAAAGGAAAAACGAAAGTTTCTCCTTTTACATTTAGTAATATATACACGAGAAGGGGTTACTAACCCCTTGCTATTGGCATTTTAGTCGCCTCTTACAACACGCATGGCTTATGGAGGAAGAATTCTGTTCCACTTCCCCATGGAGATAAGAGGAAATAAACAAGAACAAGAACTTGTAAGAAAATAGAAGATCACCCAGAAGGGTGTGTATAAATATGCTTGTACATGTATGTGTAGTGTGACCTAAGTGTAAGTAGAAGTAGCAAGATGTACCTGAAATCTTGCATGTGTATGAGACAGGAAAAAACAAGACACCAGCAATCCTACCATCATGTAAATCAATTACAGGGTTTCGTTTTACACCCACTTGGCAGGACGGTAGTACCTCCCTGGGCGGTTGCTGTCTACCAACCTACTACCTAGAGCATACATGCTTTTTTTTTTTTCAACAAACCGGCCGTATCCCACCGAGGCAGGGTGGCCTAAAAAGAAAAACAAAAGTTTCTCTTTTTAAATTTAGTAATTTATACAGGAGAAGGGGTTACTAGCCCCTTGCTCCCGGCATTTTAGTCGCCTCTTACAACACACATGGCTTACGGAGGAAGAATTCTGTTCCACTTACCCGTGGAGATAAGAGGAAATAAAAAAGAACAAGAACCAGAAAGAAAATAGAAAGCCCAGAGGGGTGTGTATATATATATGCTTGTACATGTGTGTGTTTTTAGTAATCTTTACAGATTACTAAAAACACAGGATAGGGGGGCAATGTGGCAGATGTTGCAAGTATATGGAATAGGTGGTAAGTTACTAAATGCTGTAAAGAGTTTTTATGAGGATAGTGAGGCTCAGGTTAGGGTGTGTAGAAGAGAGGGAGACTACTTCCCAGTAAAAGTAGGTCTTAGACAGGGATGTGTAATGTCACCATGGTTGTTTAATATATTTATAGATGGGGTTGTAAAAGAAGTAAATGCTAGGGTGTCCGGGAGAGGGGTGGGATTAAATTATGGGGAATCAAATTCAAAATGGGAATTAACACAGTTACTTTTTGCTGATGATACTGTGCTTATGGGAGATTCTAAAGAAAAATTGCAAAGGTTAGTGGATGAGTTTAGGAGTGTGTGTAAAGGTAGAAAGTTGAAAGTGAACATAGAAAAAGAGTAAGGTGATGA